TATATATATATATATATATATATATATATATATATATATATATATATATATATATATATATATATATATATATATATATATATATACTATAATGCAATATTTATTACTTATTTATAATAAATCAATATAGAATATATTATACTCACATAATAGAGATATTTGCATTGTTGATTTTGATCCAAAAAATATTTATATTTAGTAAGAAAGAACTTTTTTCTTTTTCCACACTCATTAAATTTTTTTATTAAATTAAAAGCCAGACTTTTGAAAATGTTGAAATTTTAAATCACGATGAGAGCCAAACTTTGGTTATAACTCAAAGACTAGAAAAGAATGTTCTGCCCGCATCCAGTTTTTTCTTGACAAAAACTAACCGGTTTTTAATAAATCCACCTCTTTTGAATTGATTTTATAGCATGTTACTACAGAGGTAGCCAGAATATTATTTCACTTATAAAAAGTCAATTTGTTTGAGAAAATTAAAAAAAAATAAAAAACTGGCTACCTCTGTAGTAACATGGTTCAATCTTTACAGACACCCAAAAACAATGATCCAAACATTTTTTTTTTTCTTTTCTTGGTTTTCAATTTACAAAATGTATTATTTATTAGAAAATGTGCAAAAAAAATGAAGAAATTTGAAAATTGTCTTATGTAATTTAAAGATTTAGTGTAAACATGGGTTTTTTTACCCCTGAAAATCCTGCACCTAAAAAGGCAAAATTAAAAAAATTTAAAAAAAACTTTCTTTTATTAACTAATACTAACTTGTTTCAGTTAAAAAATATTTAAAAAATTAAAATTTAAAAAATTTTTCTGAAAAGTAAGTAAAATCCTATTTCCACTTCGCAACGCATATTGCAGCATGGCACTCACAGTTTGTGTTAATTGAAACCACTTTTACTTTATTCTTATAATTGCCCTAAAATCACAGCTATACTTGTCTCACATTTATCACCAACTGCCTCTGTTGAGAAGTTAGAGGATTTTTTTATCACTGCATTTAAAACTAAAGCCACATGTTTAAAAATTGTTACAAGCAAATGTCAATCTTCCTTTAAATTTATTGTCTTTACTGAAGATGCTGTTAAGCTGACAGTAGCCAATGGCCTGAAAATGCGTTTGTGCATTGTTTCTTTGAGAATGGCAGTTAAAATTTGTTGCTTTAATTGTCTTGGTGTACAAGGTTACACAGCATATTGTTACTCTTGTTGCCCACATGTGATATATATTTGTAATTTTGGTCTCAGTACTTTATAAATTCAGTAAGAGGCAAAATTTTAGTTAAAAATTTTGTATGATTTTGAATTTTTATTTAATTAAGAAAAATATTGTTTCCTCAAAATATGCTTTCAGTATATTTGGTTTTTCTCTGCTAGTCAACAATAAATAAATTTTTTATGCAAAAATTTTAGAATTTAAAATCTTACAACTTGAAATCTTAACATCACACATTTGAGTGTCCTTTTGATATGAAGCTAAATTAAAGTTGCTCACAGGAGAAGCTGTGAATCTTAAAAAAAAATTTATTAATTTATTTTTCTATTTTGTTTTTCAAATATTTGTTTATGACTATTAATTTATCTTTATTATATAAGATGGAAAAAAGTCAAAAAATAAAAAATAAACAACATATGTAAAATAATAACAAATCTAAATAAACAAAAAATGTAAATTTTATTTTTAAATTATGTTTTCTAATGAAATAAATTTTGTTTAGCCAAAAATTTGTTTTGGTTAAATGTAACTAGTATCCCAAAATTTTGGTTTATTTATGTTTTTTTCGTATTTCCTGTTTCAGTCGATCACTAATATTGAAAAGTATAGACTTTTATAACTTAGCCAGTTATATTTATAGCCTAAAACCTATAACAATCTATAGACTAAATATAGTTTATAGGTCCAAAGTTTAAAATAAAAAAGTAGAAGTACAAACTAGTTGGCCATTAGTGCTATATTTACTATATTAGTATATACTATATTAGTATATACTATACTATTAGGTATTAAGGTCACTAGATATATAAGGGTTATGACTTTTTGACTTTTTTTTAAAAAAAACTAGTTTCCTGTGTCATAAATCGATGAGCCTTATTTAGAAAACATTAAACACATGTTCAATTCCTTTTAGTTGTAAAAAAAGGTCACCCTGCAATTCAAATTATGTTTCGTCATTTATTTAATCTTGTTACTGCTACTACTAATATGTGTGGCTTTCCTGCAAATCATTTAAAACTTGTATAGAATGGAGGTGTTTAGAACTTTAAAACATTTTGGAAAATAACAGAATGTTTTAGAAGACTTAGAACATTCTAGAACAATTTAAAGCATTCTGGAATATTCTAGAACATTTTAGACTATATGCTGCTCATCTAATTTTATAGTTATCACAGAAGCAACACATGGCATTGTATAAGCCTAGCGATAGTAGCATTCAGAAGAACAAGGATCTCTAGACCAATAATCTGGTAAATTTGAAGACTCATAAAAGAAGAAGAATGGTTTCTTTGGAAAAATAATCACTCGAAAAGTGCAGAATGCCTCTCCAAAAGCAAATTATCAGGCACTACCATTTCCTTGGACCAAAAATCAAAGGAAGAAAGGAGGGAATTGCAGAAATTTCCAATAAAGTCACCAAATTGTGGAAGAATAAACTGAATTTTTCTCATGTATCTGATCAAGTTATACGAGCAAAGCTTGATAAAATACTGAAATGTTATAATGAATTTTCAAGCAAGGAAACTTCGAACCCCTTGATGATATTTTTGATATTACTAAAGTTGATGAAACATAAATATCTTCCAAGGACAAGCGATTGTACTGAAATGTTATAATGAATTTTCAAGCAAGGAAACTTCGAACCCCTTGATGATATTTTTGATATTACTAAAGTTGATGAAACATAAATATCTTCCAAGGACAAGCGATTGTACTTGGAAGATATTTATGTTTCATCAACTTTAGTAATATCAAAAATATCATCAAGGGGTTCGAAGTTTCCTTGCTTGAAAATTCATTATAACATTTCAGTATTTTATCTCCAAGTGGAAAGCAAAGAAACAGTGGGATACTCTACAGTCCAAGCGACCAGTAAAGAAATTGTTCAAGAAATTTCTAAAGTCCTCGATTAATTTCACCTATGGAATTCAATACATATGATTCCTGCAGATACCACCGGCGTTAACACTGGAAAAAAGAATTGTGCTGTTGTAATATTGCAATGAATGTTTACAGAGAAGCGCATCAACAAACCTCAGTTTATCAGTTGTCAACACCATATAATAGATAGAATCCTCCATTTGGTGATGGATGAAGAACTTAGAAGTAAAATACAATTGCTAAACATCAAATATCCATTTGTATCTCAATTGTTAAAGGAGTACAAACAACTGAAAACACAGTTTGATAACGGAACAGAAGTGATTCTCGAAACATCAGGCTGGAGAAATGATATAATATTTTTGTTTCAGCTAACTCGAGTGTTCTGATTTTTTGAGAAAAAGGAACATTTTCCATTGATCAGGTTTCAGAAAATACCCAACATCAGCAATACGAGGTTGAACTCCAGAGCTATACTAGCAATCCTGGCCTTCATTTTAATTCTTTCAACAAGGACAGTTCTGCAGAGAGTCTAATGTCGATTTATTTTGTATGGCTGGGCAGACCATTGGTTTACAGACCAACTGTACAACGAAAACAACTTTAATAACTTGGCTGAAATACTAAATCCATACAAAAAGGCTTTAAGGTCTTTGAAAATTTACTGGAAGCGAGAGCCATTCATACTACAGATACCTAGAAGTAATCAATGCGCAGAGCAGGCAGTTAAAGTGGAGAAAATTTATTCATCATGCAAAAATAATGATAAATTGCTCCTTCGATTCCTTCTGTTCAACAAGCAAGAGCAAGGCCAATGGTCATTGTTGGATTAAAAATTTATTGTATTACATGACTATGACATTCTAAATACATTTGAATACATAGTAATACCAATGTCCAAATCGATTTTTCAATGGCGCACAGTTGGAAGAAATCCCGATTTTGTGGCCAAAAATCCCAAAATTACCTACGTGAGGGTTTTCGAGGTTGCTGATTATGAATCTGATATCAGATTCTAAAGTTCTAAATGGTGGTTCCAATATGGCGGCCAAAACTGTTCATACGTTAAAATATTAAATTTAGCAATAATAAATTAGCAATAACTGTGCATAACCATATATTCTACATACCTCTACAAAGGGATTCCATTTTGCCGAATTCCAATTGAAATAGATTCTTCACTTTAACAGCACTTTAAAACAGGCAAGATTTTTTACGTGTCCACTTGTTTAGTGCGTACCGAAAAGAGGCTAAATGTCAACCGACGTCCAGGTCACTCTAGAGCAGGTATATACCTGCCCAGTTCAGAGTTTTGTTCTATGACTATCTGTAAACAAGATTTGAACGTAAAAAGACGAAAATATAAAACTCAAAAATTTGACTTTTGGCCACGATATCGGGATTTCGTCCACTGTGTGGCGGGGTGAACTTTTTTGAAAAGATATTGCAAAAAATAGTTCATTTCGTACTTTTTAGGTAAAAGTTGATCAAACTACAGTACAGGAGCATGGGGTTGATTAAAAGTCATAACTCTAATATATATATATATATATATATATATATATATATATATATATATATATATATATATATATATATAATTAATTGTTTGTTTAATTAAATAAAATTACAATTAAGCTAGAAGCATTATACATTTTAATTGCATGATTTAAAAAAATTACAAAGATAAGGCAAAATGGGGAAGAACTTCATTGTGCACCATTCAAACTACCTCATTGTAGTATGCATATTTAAATGCTTTATAATCGAAACTGGGTTGATATATATGTGTGTGTGTGTGTATTTATAGTCTATAAACTGTGTGTGTAAATAATATAATTTCGATTATTTTCCATTATTAGTTGATTATTTATTTCTTAGTTTATATATGCATTATTTAGAACTTCCTGATGATAACGAAAAGTTATTCATTAAATGTTTTTATGAAAGTCAATCGATGTTTACAGATGAAATAAAGTCATTCGTCAACAATAAATGGTTGAAAGTTTCAATTGACGATGGAAAAACCTCATACCAAACTTCATGCGCAATTTATTTTGTAAATCATTTAATAAACTCAGGAGGGAAGTTAATGTCGTTAAGTGTTCGTAAAAATAATTTAAGTGATGAAGAAAAAAAGCTTCTAGTTAAATGTTTAACTAATGTTTGCGAAGTCTACTTTTATCAACCAACTAAGTTCGATGGATGGAAACCAAAAGACAAACTTAATTGTTTAACAATGTTTATTTCAAATTATTTAATATCAAAGAAAGATTTTGAAGACAATATTCTTCCGTGGTTTAATCTTTGTGAGGAACTAGTTCTTGACCTACATGACAACATCGATTTTATTGAAGATATTCACGAGTGGATTCGTTTTTCTAATATCAAGGACGTGTCAATCAAGTACTGCAAAAAATATTATGGATTAGAAAATATTATAAAGCGGAAAAATTTAATATCTTAGGTATATAAACATTTTTTTATATATACAAATTAACTTCAATATAATAGTTAATTAATGATTTTTAAAGCATAAGAAACAGATAGTCCGGTCACTTCTCGGTGTAGTTAAAGCGATTTACAAATTATTCGAATTCTTTTTTTTGAAATTTGCATGGTCTTATTAGCGTATTATGTCCAAACATAAGCTTTACATGTTATAATTTTTTTTTGCTTTAGGTTTTTTTAATATTTAAAGAAACATTTTTTTTTATATACATAATTTTCAAAACCTTTTTACTACCCCTGATAGCAAATCTAAAGAACATCATTTTAGAGTCTTTAGTTTAATTTCGCTCATCAACAGAAACAAGACCTTAGAGCAATTCAAGAACGAATCAAAAAGATTATTATTGTTTAGGGAATTTAATTTTTTCCGACTTTAAATGTTTCTTTTAAAGTAAGCTCAAAACAGATTTATTTATACCAATGAAATTTAAGTGATGATGTTCAAAATTCATCTAATGATTATGTTAATTATGTAATTTTACATTTATTTTTTTTTTGAAAATTTTTGTTTAAGTGTTCTTATATATTTTAGCGGTTGTAAGCATTTTAACACTTCTTAATTATTTGCTATTTTGAATTTCTTTAATAACTTAGTTATTTTCTGATTTAATTCTGATTTATATCTTTGTATATATTTGTATGTTACGGTTATGCAGATTTTTTTTATATATAAGGGGCCCGGCGATAAGGCAAAATGTACCTTCTTCTTGCTACAGCCATTAATTTCAATAAATGTATATGCGATGTAAACATTTAACGGCATTTTAACGGCAAAATAAATTACACACACACACACACACAAAATGTTAACATGAACTTAGTTAAAATCTTTTGAAAAAGTGCCTTAACCCACTATAGGTCCTAGTTTTAATCGGTTTTGACGTGTATTAACTATATATAGTTAATATAAAATATTTTTTATCACTTTTCACAAAAAACACTAGAATTTCGAGCAAAAAAGAGCATATAATAAAGAAAAGTTGCCAATAAAAGATCAGAACAGATCACATTATTAAACTATGATGTTCATTTCACCTAAAAATGTATTTATTTTAATTTTTATTCGAATTTAGACAAGCGATTGTGATTTCAAGAAGATTTACTTTTTGAAAAAAGAATCTTCGATCTGGTTGTTTTTGCTACAAACATTTATATTTTATGATACCGCAAAATTTATGATTTTAATTTTTTTGTTTTGATAATTCACAGACCTGATGATTAAACGGAAATATGTCGTAGTCAACAAAACATCACACAGACGCTATAATATTTAAAAATTGTCTACTACACCGAGCTGGGCCTTAACATCGTTGTTTTTTAAATATTCGTAAAAACAATTAAAACCTGTTGTGCGATCACTCAGTGCACAAATAAAGTAAACACAAAAAAGTTTTAACAGTAAATTTAATATCAAATGATCATTTTCTTTAGAAAAACTTTTTTTTGCAAAAGTTTTATTAAAGATGTAGTTGTCTTAAAAGCAAGATTTTCTTGCACGAATTGCACGGTTTAAAATGCTTATCTCAAATAAATTCTTACAAAACCTACAAATAAAAAGCATCTATTTCTTTCCATTTGCAAAATCTTGACCCGTTTTTTACTTTCACGAATTTACTAGATATAAGCCTAACAACCTAAATGAAAGAGAAACCAAAACAGTTAAAATCCATAATTCCCTGAAACTTAGTTTACTATATTAACAGTTAAATCCGTGCAATGATTATGAATACTCCACATCAAACTCTATCTCAAGTAGAGACAACAAAAGCTGGTTTTAAAGCTAATAGTGACGCCATCAAATGGTTTTATTATAAAAATTTAGTCTTGAAATTTTTGACTATGAGTAATCGTTTTAAGCATTTCTCACATATTTAGATTATAGTAATTCTTTTAAAAATTTAAATAACTTATCATCAATTGTTTTTTCATGTAGAGATAAAAAAGTGTACTAATGTATTCGGTAAATTTTATTTTTTTTAACATATTTGAACTTCTGAATATCTGAGGTCTTTGTACAAATTGTCATTTGTTGTCAACGAGTAAACAGTATCTAGCTAATGTATGTTATATATATATAATTTTTTATTTATTTGAGTTTTCATGCTATATTTTTCTATACAATGTTCTTATATCCGAAGATATTGTTGGCTTAGCATAGGAACAGCCACAAATAGTCATTAAGACTAATCAAAAGTAGCGTCCGTTATTGACCAACATTTTTGCGTACCGAAGTACTACTCAAGCGCTGAGTTGGCGGTGGCAGGATTTGAACTCGTATCATTCAACAGTCCGGGTTTTCACTTTTCCTTGAACGCTCTAACCATCTGAGCTATCCCGCCACGTATATATGTGTATATAGCTAATATATATATATATATACAAATAGAGTGCTCAATGTTCTTAAAGAACAGAGCAATAATTAATAGTAAAAGCACTTATCTAATTTTTATTTTCTTTTACAGCTTGTTTCTCTATCATCAGGAAGAATGTCTAAACATCAAAAATTCAAATTATAGAAAAATTATTTCACAGGAAGTTGAGAATTGACATAATTATGTAACAACTGTAGTATTTTTTGCAACCAGGAAGTTGCATCAACTACATTAGATAATTAAAAAATCATAAAAAGAATTGTTTAGAATTAGGATAATTTTAGACTGGTCATTTGTTTTTATAATTTTTTAAAAAGGAACTTATTTTTATGTCCTCATTTAGAAATTAATTCAGATTTTTTATTCAGTAAATTTTCTTAATCTAAAAAATTAAAAATATTAAGCTAAAGTTTGAAACAAAAAATGCAAAAAAGTGTAACAGAAATAGAAATTAATTAGAAATATTGGAAAAAAATATTGGAAAAACGTTTTTAAAAATAGTCGAGAAACATTTTCCTCCCTCTAATAAATTGCACAAAATTTTAAAGGGGTATGCCCCCTGATAAATCTAAAGCGACAATTTGGTATTACATGCTATTGGTATTACATACAGAAATACTATTAAGGTAAGCTATAACTGTACAGAAAATATTGAAAGAATTATAAAAGGACATAATTTTGCATTGATTAATAAAAATGAATTTCTCAAAGAAAAAAATTCTGAAAATTGTAACTGCAAGCAAAAAATTGACTGCCCTATGAATAGCAAATGCTTATCAAAAAATATTATTTACAAATGGATTGTTTCCTCACAAAACAAATCTGCCAAACAATATTTTGGCTTAACTGAGGGCAAATGGAAAAAACATTATGCCAAACACAAACAATCTTTTAAACATAAAAAAATACTCAAAAGAGACTATGGTGTCAAAATATGTTTGGTAACTAAAAGAAAAAAATATTAGTTTTAAATTAAACTGGTGTATTCTAAAAACTGCACCTGCGTATAGTACTAGTCAAAATTATAGCACAACCTCTTAAAAGAAGATTGTCATATAAAATTTTTGCATACATTAATCATATTGTTGAGAGAAACTGTATTTTTGAAATTCTTTTAGGTAGTGTTTTCGTTTAGACAGTGAATTTTGACAGTATGTATGATTAAATGCATTGACGCATTGTTGTGTATGATAGTTGATTATTTAAAATAGCAAATCTTATAATTTTTCAGTAATTTTAAAAAGTTTTTTCAGTAATTTTAAAATTAACACAATTAATGCAATGGGTCGCAAAGCAGTGTGTTCTAAGCGATGACAACTTGTAAAAAACTTACTTCAACAGCAGTTTTGTATTGCTGATATTGCTAAATGCGCTAAAATTTCCAGAAAACTTTTCTAAAATATTGCTGATAAATTATATTGAATTTGCCAACGAAAAATCGACGTCGTAAATGCACTAATTCTATAAAAGACCGCTGTATAGTGACTCTTGCTAAATAAATTGTACTGATTCAAGTAGAAAAATTGCTATGGAGTTGAATGCTGCAAAAAAAAAAAAAGAATTAGTGCAATAACAAATTAGTGCAAACCTCATATGTAGTAACGAGAGATCAATGAAAACTCCTTACAAAAAGATAAAAACTAACTAAAAAACAATGTTGAGTGGGATCTTATATTACAATCATGCGATGCAAATAACGCCTACGAACTTTTTCTTGGTCAATTTTGTAAATATTATGAAAAAAGCTTTATTATTCAAGTTTGTTAAAAAATTCCCATGGAAATGCTAAGAAAACATGGAATTCGATTAAAGAGATAATCGGTAATAATAACTGTACAATAAGCAATCTGCCAAAAAAAATTTTGATTGTTGGTAAGTTAGTCAGTCATAAGGTCAGGGTTAGGGTTAGGGTTAGGGTTAGGGGTTGATAGTTGAATATCTAAATAGCTTTTTTCTTAATGTGGGTTACAAATTAGCAGCAGAAATTCCGTCTAGTCCTGCAACATTCCATTTTTACTTGATTAAGAACCTTACCTCAGAAAAGATTATGAAAAAAACAAATCTAGATTCTAATGATCATTTATGATCCACTTTAAATATTCAAAAAAAACAACAATAGTGCGGGCTTTGATAATATCAGTAGTTTTGTCGTAAAGTTAGTATTTGATATCATTGAATCATCATTGCATCACATCTTCGATCTTTCACTGAAATCAGGCATTGTCCCAGATAAACTAAAAATTGCCCGAATTTCCCCTATTTTTAAATCTGGAGATGATTTTGATACTAATAATTATAGACCTATCAGGTTTACGATATTTTTCCAAACTAGAACGAGTCATTTATTATAAATAGACTTTATAATTATTCATTGTTTGAAAATACTTATGACTACACTTATAATAATAACAACAACTACATCCGTTGCAATGTAGATTAATCTACCTATGTGCAGGCAATACGAGAGAGTAGCCTCATGGGCCATATGGCCTGGGCCTCCGATTTTGTTGGGGCCTTACACTTTCAAAATATATTTTTTAAACATCGAAATAATAATTCTAATTTCTAATTACACTAAACAAATTAACGTCCCAGGTCTCCAAAAGAAATGCGTTATTAGTAGACAAGCATATTTCTCGGCTTGTTGGATTGCTAAAATGCACAAAAAGCGCCTCGTCTATGAGTGAGTCTGTCTAATTAATTGCAATTATCATAATAGTCACAAAATTATATGGTCCCAACTTACCTGAAGACTTAAATTGGCTTTGCACCAACTTGTGTTGCATTTTGCGCAAAACGTCCTCTTTGGGCCTCCAATTTATAACTGGCTCAGGCCAATCTAAACCTCTGAAAGGGGTTGCCTGTATGTTTTTTTATTTTAGGTGCCTCAAGTAGTCCTTACAGTCTTATTACAGAGCACCGCGGAGGAGCATTTAACAGGAAGTTATTCTGTTAAATGCTCAATAGGGATTGCTAAAAATTCATCATGTCAATTATTTCAATGAATGCAAGTCATTTTTCAAAATAAGTAACTCAAAGTCATATGATTTTCAAATATACTATATTAATGACCGGCAAGTTCCCGAAATATTTTCTAAATCTCCAGAAATGGCTTTTAATGATTGGTGTCATGTAAAAAACAATGAAACTATGTATCCTGATATAATAAAGCTTAAAAAGTTGAAACTTTTCAAGCTTTATTTACTTGAAAAGTTGAAACTTTTAAAGGCTTTTTTGGCTATTTCAAAGTAATGAATTAAATTGTTGCATAAAAATTAAACAAGCATGAAAAGGAAGACAATGAGAGATGCCACAATACCTTTGAGTGATATAATGTTATAATGAATTTAGCTTTAGTATCATAC